TGCCAATTTAATTCAGCCACAAATGATGCTGCTACAAGGTCAATTCTTCTTTTCTTCATCTCTTACTTTTTCTCTTTACTCCAGTCCTTGCCTCTTCTCTTCCACCCCACCTTACTCTCTCTGCTTTTCTCTTTCTGTGAGCAGGATTGAGTTGTCATGTAGTTCTAATGGGCAGCACAGGGAATCATTAGTCCACCGCAGCTCCCTGACTGATGGGTATTTCACTCCAATCATCACATGCGTGTATGTGTGCTGAAAGAAAGATAGGGACTGGCCCCATCCCCCCACCAGCACACACAGAAATAACCCCCCCCCAACCTCGTGCCATGGCATTGTTCACCTGCTGCTATTGACAAAGTGTCAGAGCTGAGGAGAGACGTCTTAATCAACTTGGACACACTGGGCATTGATTTGACAAGCTGTTGTAATGACCTTCTTGTTTTGGTAAAGGATCACTGTTTATCTGGGCCACAACTGATGCACTGAACATGCCGCATTGTCATGGAAACCATTATCACAGCTGAATTAGGACAGAATCGGTCCTCGGATCTTTCTTCTCCCCGCTGTCATCCTCACACAAACAAACACAGAGTTACACACACATGATGTCGCAGATATTGATACGTTTGAAGTGGCCTACGTGCGAGGCTGTAGTCTCCGGTAAAGCGAGGTGCTTAGCGCTCCCAGTTGAAATTTGTAGGGGTCACAAAGGAGAAGCTATAATGTCAACATCTTTTATGTCAGTGTTATAGAAATCGTTACAGACTTGATGGATTGGCTGAGAAGGCTCTATACTCCCATGATGGACATTTCATTTACTTGCCTTCCAGCTTTTTTGGCAAATTCTTAATGATATCCAAAAGAGACTCATTGGAAAATTATACTAAAACACAGTTATTTTTAAAGATACCGATAAAGGTTCTGCCAAGTGTTCTTAAAGTAACATTTCGACTAATTTTGTGCAGTTACTAGTCGTTTCAGCACGTGCCTGGCAAGTGCAAGTTAAAAGACTGAGGAGACATCTTTGTATTCAGGCACAAGCATGAACGGCTTCTTGCTGCATCAACTGCTCCATGGCCACAAACACAACCTCTTTCCTTAAGAGAAAAAAAAAGCCTGCTGAGTTGATTTGCAGGGATCTCAGGTTTCTGATGCTGTCAGCCTCTGTCAGGGCAATCGGCAACACTCAGCCTCCCTTGAATAACCTGCACAGCAGAAGGTAAATATTATTGGCATTGTGACACCCTCTCGCTGCGACGAAGTGTGTAAAATTGTTAATAGAGGACATGATGGGCCTGCTGCATGCCATCCTGAGAATGGAAAAGCCTGCTCTTGTCTGCAATTATCCAAACAACAGGATGAGGTGACTGCAGACAGGTGATTTAAGTCTTTAGCTGAGTGGTAGATAGGTTTGTTTTGGTAGGGGGGAAGTAAGGAAAAGTCACCGGGGTCATACAATCAATAATGTCCTAGTGCTTTACTTATCTGTATAACTTAGAAAATACACAGATTTTCTGGTGCACAGTTTGTTTAAATTGCTGAAGACACTATCAGTATTTGAAGTTCTCTTACACTTGAGAGCTCACGTAAATAATGTATAGTGGTAATCTCAATTATAGCAGCAAAAGATTGTTGATGTGTCAAGTTTAAAAGTGGCTGAGAAGAAATGGCTTGTTCCAAAATCTGCTGTTATTAGTTATTTCTGTACCGACGTTTGAAAGGCTCATTGTGACGGTGTGATAAGGCAAACAGTTTTCTTCCCTAAGCGTAGAACAGGTACTGCTAACTCATTATTTTTAAAGGCATGGTATCTTTAATTCGCAGAAGGACGCCTTGATAGCAGAATAAAGTACATAATCGTAAATGTTTGTGCCAGTATTTCTTACACTATGATTACGTTTTTATGGTTCATATTCTGATATGGCTTGTTTTTGCTGCCACTACCAGAGAAATGATACAGGCCCCAAGGTGGCATTTCTTCTTAGCTTTATGGGGAGAGAAGATGCCTGGAGGAGAGTCCTGCTCAGTTTCATTCAGTAAACACACTGGCAGGCTAAATGACTGATCAATCCATTTCAGTGGGATCGATCTGCATCAGTTCTGCTTCCATGCACACACCCGGAGCCACTTTATTGTAAATCAATCATTTTGAAAACATCTCACAGAGGGGGCCCGTCCTCACTAACAAGCCATCACTTCCATCTGCCTGTGTAGCACCCTTATCAGGCCACAAATCAGCAGCCACACAAACATCTGCTCCGTTTCCATTGCTTTCTCCCAGTGCTTCACTCTGTCTTTTACCCCTGCTCTTTCCCCGCAGCTTGTCGTGTTTTGATAGTGTGTCTGGCAAGGAGAAGACAGAAGAGGCTGCGAATCCTCACCACACCACTTAAGATAACCCAAGGGTAATAGTGTTTGCACATTTGAGAGAGAAATGAGGACAAATGCCAGGGTGGGTCATACATTCTCCTTCGAAGCGGTTCTTTGACGTTGGAGTGTGAAATTGCACACTTCAGCTGAGGAGCATGGAGGAGGAGGAGGGCAGGGCAAAGACTTATGAGATGTCCACTGATTTCTAGCTATGAGGCAGGAGTAGGTTGTTGTCTGAGGAGCCAACTTGCCACATCATAACACCTTGGAATTGGTGCTGCTCATGATGTTTGAAGGATTCCCTGGGGATAATGCAGTACCCTTGACAGGGGTGACATGGTTTTTAGTACAGTGTATCTAGAAGCAGATCATTTGAGTTTTGATAATTGCTGTGTAACACAAAGGTTAAAAAGAATCCCTTAAACTTTACCACCATTTAATGACACGCTGATCACCGGAGGCATCGCTTTGACACGCCGTCGCTGTAATGTGGGGGGAAAGGATTATTTTCTCAATAAATCATTTGGCTCAGAAATAACTGAATCTCTGAGCCAAATCCACATGAAGATGCTATGCATCCTGATGTGATGCACATTCGCAGCACTGACATGACAGCAGAGCCAGATACCTGGTATGATGTCCTTTGCTCATCTGCTGTCAGCATATCCGTTGAGATATATAAGCCACTGTGGACAGAATGCTATTCCCACCCATCACCGTGCATCTTTGCTGATTGACAGTTTGACAGGTGAAAGTGATGGAGCAGCTAATAGCATGTCAGTAAACATAAATCAAGACTAATGCCAGATCCAATGGAAAGACGAATTGGTGGTGCGACTCTTGGATTGCGGGGTCATGCACCCCTTGGCAGGGTTGGGATTAAGAAAATACAGTTTGCATTCATCGAAACCTTTCCCTCATGATTTTCAAGGTCAGGTACAGAGTCTACTGCAGTTTTGAAGCGTAGTATTTTGTTTTATATCCAAACCACTGGATAAATAGAAATAAAAATGTGTTCATGTCACTGGCTGGAAACGTAGCCTGCTTCGAGGGTCACATATAAATTCTGCATGTTTGCTATGACCTACAGGGACATTAATGCACACATTAAAAAAAAGTATATATATATATATACATTTTCCTGTTTACCTTAGGTCGAGTCGCAAAGGCAACATGTTTAGGAGGGAAATGCAGATGTCTCTCACCATCGGCACACTACATTAAAAAATAACACACAATAATTCATATTATTTCAAATGGAGTAAAGTTAAAAGCACTTTTTCCTATTCAAATCACTTACACTTTCGATACTTAATTAATTCCACGAGTAAAAATGACATTTTTGTCACAATGAAAAGGACAAAGTCACAAAGTTTAGAACACAAATACATCCATTTTAATTTGAGAAAATACAAAAAGAAACCATGTACAATCTATGTACAAACGTTTTGTACAAGACAGTATATTTATCAGCAGATTATATTTGACAGAGTCAGGTAGATCAACTCAGCACCATCAAATAATCCATTTTTTCCTTCATATCTAGAACAAATCCAAACTAATTAGAATGCTATGTCAAACTCCTGTATGCAAAGACGATATGCCAAAACATCTGCGATACAAGAGCAATATCCTGAAATTCTTCCTGAAATTACAGGCAACCAAATAGAAAAAAAAAAACTTTTCTTGCTTAATGCAATTGCTTAATGCAGTTTTAATGTACTCTTAAGACTTGAGGCCCACCTCCTATACCAGTGTTATATAGTATACCTAGTACAATTTCCGGAGCAAATAAACTATACCCATCCTTTAGAGAAAAAAAAACAAAAAACAGATTAACAAAAATAATTCAACATTTTGTCATTGTATCATATTTGATTTCCTCAATGGAAAACATGTGATGTTACAGGCAAGAGCCTCTACCTGCATCTTTCAGTCATCCATGATTCTCCATACTCTAAATAACAAATAATAAGATAACTTCTATGGTTTGACAACTGTTGCTTGTATTCAGCTTTCTTACAAGCCCTTCTGGCCACTCCTGAATGCCACTTGTCGCTTGAGTGGGACTTAATATGGGCCCTCCTCTTAATCTCCTGCACTGCCTGGCACAATACTGGCATGGAGGCATTGATGGCTTGGATGTTCTCCATGTCAGTACAGATTACCGTTCTCATCGTGGAAAACACTTCGACTCAGAAGTGAGTCCATGGACCTGAATGACTGAAAGATGCTTGCTCAACTAAAGGTTTCATGGCACTTCAAAAATACTCTAACACTTTTAGAGCAATACAATGCAAAGAACTAAAACAACAGACCTTTGAAAAAGTCGTAGGAAGGAGATATATCTCATTCGGGTGTTGTGGATTATGCAAGTCTGAATAAGTTGCAAAACAAGGGTTCAGGTAGAAAAAGAACAGTAATCAAGTATTATGAAAATAAATGATGCATTACTTTGTGTGTTGCCAGTTTTAAGCATGTACCATTCTATATCTGAGCAATGCTGTGTTTAAGTGCCTTATAATTACTCTGTAAACAAATGAAAAGCAGTTGTGACAGTTTGTGACAGATTTATGACGAGCTGAAAAAATGGAATGTAAACCCTGTAAAAACAAAAAGGAATAAAGACTGGAAAACTATGGATGTTCTTTCTTTTGATAACAGTTGCTGAATTGGTGCTACCTTCCATCATACCAATGTTTTTTTTTAACCAGATATCACATTTTCTTGTGTATTAATCACCGCATTCCTATGAGAATCCATGATCTATCATTTTTGAGATACCCATTTGTCTTCTTTTTTTTTCTTTTCAACATAACAATCAGTTTGTCGATTTTGCGTACAATGAGTCATCATCATTAGCAAATATTAATATTTCCTTATCGTGAAAGGCTAGCATTGACAACCCAATTATACAAACATTTTACTCACATATTTTCTGAAAAGAAATCTAGTTTGCTACAATGTGTGACAACAATGTAATCACAGTTCAAAAGTTCACTGTAGGACGATGTGTATGAAGCTTCAGTATAGTTGCAATACACCCAATAGACAGACATTGAAGCTCAGACCAATTTGTTTGAGAAAGAAACGTGGTCTATGTGTTGATTTACACAAACATATTGAGCACAGATATCTTTTTTTTTCATATTCCAAAATTGTCGTCTACTTTTAGAATGAAATTTTCCTTACAGTCTAAAGAGGAGGATCACTGCAATAAACAGCCTGTCCTGTCTGAAATAATTAGTTGTTGAAAACACCTGCACACTGTGCTTCAGCATACTTTTCCATCACACTAGGGACCTAATTTAGGTCAAATGCATCTAATGAAGGTCCTTCAGTTCTGGCTTGCACACAGTGGGAGCGACTTCTTATCCTTCAAATTATTATCTGCACTCCGATCAGCTCCTCAGTTTAATATGTCTACCCCTCAATATATTATTCCTCTACATCTTTCATATGGATGTTCTCCACTAGGGACTCTTAACATACACCGCATTTATGCAACCGAATAAGGCTTCAGATGAGCCCAGATTCATGTCTACAAGCACTCAACACTTTTCTTTTCACAATGCAGACTGAGCTATATGAGCTCCTGAGTGATGTAGTTAGTTAATATAGGGCTCAGGGGATAGAAAAATAACTATTTGCTGTTATATCATGTGAAATAAATGATAATACATATCAATAACACAAACTATTTCATATGTGGTTGTAAAAGTTTTTATCTCCTTAAGTACTTTCCTTCTCATCCTCAACTAGAAAAATAAGTAGAAATTGATTATGTGTATGGTTATAAAATAATGTTTTAATGTATAAATTCAACGATTAAATTTCTATCAATCCCCATCAGAGCCTGATCTGGATATAAGGGTAGAACAGGAAGTGCAAAATAAACCCATGTTGCACACAGGCTGGCACAAAGAACTGCATTTGCAGTGCCCCCAATAGCAGTCTGTGGCATTGTTGCATTAACACCAACTATGCATGAGCAGTCCCCATGTCAGAGGATCAAACACAGCAGCTGAGAGTTTCGAGGCTTGTGACATCTGGATTGGCAACAGAGAACATCCAAGCTCTTTACTGCCTCTGTGCCAACCCTGTGCCAGGCAGTTGCTCAAATCAAGGGAGGACCCATTTATGCCCACTCTACGCGATATGTGGCATTCCTTCTCTCAAACTTGAACTTTACGTCAATTATAAAACATGGAGAAAAACAGCACTTTTCTTTGTGTTCCCAATTCTGCTGCATGCATCACAGTAATGCGTCCAATGGTGGCATGCTGCTGCTGTTTGTGTTAGATCTGCTCAGTCATAGTTGGAGATTTTAGTTTTTATCTTAACGCAACTTAAATTTGATATAGATCCAAATCCTTTTGACTCTAAAGCTCCTTGTGTCTATGATGCCTTCTTTTTGTGCTAAGTCCATCATGCTGCTCCCACCAAGCTGCACCATCACATAAAAACCAATGAAGAAGGGCTGGTGACTGCGACACACGTTCACATACAGAGCATGTACACAAATACCCCAGAATCCCAGAATGCACGAGGACTGAACAAGTTCTTTTTTAAATCCTTCCCATGTATTCAGGCTATTAAACCACACTGTGTGTGTTTTAAAAGGGCTCAGGCACATATCATGCGAGCTTGACACTGAGTTATAGCCTTAGAATATGACCTATCTGCAGAAAATATGTAGGTACAGGATTCTCCTTTAGCCAGCATACACCCACACTGCATCGTTCTCTGGGCTTTAGATTACTGCTTGAGAGGTGGCTTTATTGTGCAGGTCTGCAATGCTTACACCCATCTTGATGAGTCAAGGTGAGGTAGCAAACTTTGAAGAATAGAACAATGGATACCAAATCAAGATCAGGATTAGTATCAGGATTTCTGAAGCCAAGCAGCCCTTCATTTCTTTCTTCCATCCATTTTTCTTCTTCGTTCCATCTGTCATCTCATCAGAGACAATTTATGTGGGGTGATGTTTCCATTTTTTCAGTTTTTAGTGCAAAAAGAAAAGAAGCAATCAGGAGATATGATGCCAACGAACCCAGCTGATTTGATGTGACACATCTGGGTGAATCTTTGGGAGATGATTTGATCAGTTTATCGCTGCAACCCTCATCCTCCAAAAACTAGTCACCTTATCCTGGAGTCTGGTCACATGAAGAGGTGAACTATTGCAAAAAAATTACAGGAAGTACTCTTTTTCTTCTGTTTTTTTTTTCCAACTCTTAAAATAATTCCAAAAAGTGCTAGGGGGAGGGGCTGTACAATCCTTATCTGATTGTCATTATATACATCTCTATGGATACATTATAAATTAAACAATGTCCAAAGCATGGAAGTAACATTAAAGGTATACACATAGGAGGTCCTTTCCAGTGTGGGTTTCCATCTAACCCATGATTAGAAGAATGAGTGAAGAGAAATGTACCAGTCTTCAACACCCTCGTGGGTCGTTATCATGATCATCACTCCTCCACTGGTGATCTCTGTCCTACTCTTTAGAGAGAGTATACAGATGTCAGGTGAGTCAGCAAGAAAACCTGGCGTTCAGCATTCATCTTCAACTTCTCTGATTGGTGGAATCAGGCTACTAGTGGATTTGTATTGGTTGACTTGGTTGGCCATGTGAGTGCTCATAGGCTTGATCTGAATGTTCCTTGGGTAGGCATTTTCAGGTTCATCTGTAAACCATTTCTTTTCTGAGGGGACAAGGCAAGAGAAGAGGAAAACAGGTAGTTAGATTGAGAAGTATCAAACATTGGATCATTAACAACCACATTGCCTCAGTTTAAGCAATACTGACAAGGCATTTTAGGATGAACATAGTCCTCTGAGACCCACTTTAAGTTTTGATTCTGTTATGTTAAAGTGGGATGCAAACTGAATGTTTCGCATACTTCCAAAAACAGGTTTGTAGCATGTGTATATAGAGTGGCTGAATTCTGATGTTTTGAGGAATTATTCTAATTAAGAATGGTATGAGTAAAACTGTGTTACAGAATCAGTATTGAATGTAGAAACATTTAGCTTAATTTGCAGGTTTTGAGACATAAATCACAGAAATTTCTGCCTCAACCACAATACATAGTTCAGACAGAATTTTTCATTTTTCTTAGGAATTTCATGTCAACCAGAGAAGGTGAAAAATGCTCAACATGTTAGCACCCAGATTGAGGACGTGGCGAGACGGCTTCATATGTCAATGCAATATGGCAATTACATGTGTAAAACCCCAGCCTGCCTGGGGCAGTGGGAACTGAAACAAATATTGAAAAAGTTTTGATCTTGAGCCAAAACAAATTCCATTAATGCCAAGGTTGTATTCCTCTCATTTATTAGCATTTACAGCCAAAGGGCAGAGCATGGAGGAACGTTATTAGTACAAGCTTGATTTCCTGCTGAGTGCGGATAGTAGCCATTCAGTGGACGAATGCTGCTTGACATGTGTGATGGACTGTTGCACAAAAAAACTCAGTTTGCAGGTCGAGTACTTGCAAAAAATACTTGGCATCTGATTCTGGCTAGCTCTAACCAATTAGATCAACAGAGAACAGCTAGCCAAAAAAGAAAGACACCTGCTGAGAGAAGAGCAGAAATCAATTTGCCACTGCCAAAAGTGGAATTGTTTGTCTTGTTTCATCCAAGATGCATTATCCTGTCTTGTTATATTATCTTGTTTCTTATTAAAGTAGCATCCAGGAAAAAAAAGGTAAAAAAGCTGTTTATGGTGTTACTACAGGTAAATTACTAGGCTTTATACAAAATTGTGTTTACTATCACAATCAGAGCAGGGGTATCCATTTCTATCTTAAGAAAAGAAGGATTAAATGAATAAATACTGTCAAATAATTTAACATTGAAACAGACATGTTCTCTTATTGTATTTTTCACCAATGTCCATTTTTGTGGGTGCAGAAATAAAATAAATGAATATTTTCAAATCTTGGTACGGTTATTTGGCGCTCATTTCTTTTAAAATTTTGCAATTCACATCAAACTATCACATCAGCATGAGACTGTGGAGAATATTTGAAAGAGAAGAATGTGTCGTTTTAGAAGGAATATTTCTCCAGTTTAAACAGACTAAGAGCACACGACGTTTGAAGAGAGGAAAGATGTGTGCCAGCTGTCAGAAGTTTGTAAACTCTCTCCCAACACTCACAGGCATCTGAAATGCCATTCAAGATGTCACTTCCTTTTGGGTGAAGTTGTAATATCAAAATTTAACTTTCCTATGTGGAGCAAACCGCGTGTGTGTGTGCAACGAACCTGTGTGGACATTCATGTGTGTGTGTGTGTGCATGTGTGTAGACGTCTGTGCGTGTGTCGGTAAGCTTAAAGCTGCAGGGCTGTGTGTTAGAGCACAGACATTTGATGTGTAGAACTGCGCCTGAGGTGAAGCAAGATGTCTGCCATCTCTTTCCGGATTCCGCTGTTGATACGGTGAACTTAGTGATGTCGCCTCTAACCACCATAATCAGGTGCACATGGGTACAAGAAGGAAACTTACAGACTCATCTTCCCCTTCAATTTAAACTTTAAATTGGTCACACCTTCCACTTTATTGGTGTGACTGATGGCACAAGGCTGGACACACTTTCTTAAAGTTTGGTGAAGAAGTAAGCAATTTGGTCACATCAGGGGGATTTAAATGAGTCTGACCTACATGTGAGCTCTGATTTAGGTTTATGCAGCAGCATAACACGTTGCTACTTTGTTCTTTGTGCAGGTCTGGTGACATAATAATAATATCTTGTTCTCAGGTGAGCATTCATATGATAAATGTGATGTCTAAAAGTCTGCTGCAGTCATCTAACAGCATTCAGCAGGAGAGAAGATGCGCAAACACACAAACCTCTCACACAATTCAAACAATCTCAGGTTCAAATAAATCAGAAAAAAAGGCATGACAAATAATGGGAAGAGAGAATGTGAGGGGAAAAAATCTTGCCGAGAAAAGAAATATCAGTTCATCGAGGAAACAACTGAGATAAATGCACAAAGAAAAGTGGGGGTTTCATCTCAACCTCATGCAATGTGGAAATGGACCTGATCATGGCAGCAGCAGACATTTTGCTTTCCAAACAAAAGCAAAACTTAAACTGAGGCATGGTTTACTTAATATTTGAAGAACATCATAAATGAAAAAAACTCCCCTCATCATAACAATATCCTCAGAGGACAAAGTTATGATCAAACCCCAGATAAAGGTTGCTAAGTCATGCAGAATCGTTAACTTGCATACCTTGGCCCATTCTATTCATCCTTGTTGCACTTCAAAAAGAGAGGTAAGTAATCTACTGTAAGTAAGTAGTATTTGCAATCAATACACATCTGACAAATTACTATCAGCCATCTTAAATCTTACATGTTGTCACTACAGTTTGGGCAAAGTCATACATCTTAACTCTGAGATGTATTGAGGGCTTATCATCCCCATAAGTCACTAACTCTTTATTACAATCGTAACAAATCTGCATGCTTTTAGGATGTGTCACGATTTTGAAATCACTTCAGTCTCACAACTCAAAAGTCAATTCAAAGCTTCGGGGGGAGACAATATGTAACACATGGTGTAAAAGTCAAAATAGTCGACCAAATTTCAAATAATCTCACAAACTCTGTAACAAACAGAACAAGAAATAAGAGCCTACTCAACATGGACATGCAAAAAGCAGTTCATATGCACCATGAAGGATGAAATAATAACAATGCTAATGAGGGATTTATGGGTAGCATCATGATAATCAGCCAAACTGACTCTATTACCATCATTAAGTACAGTTGGTAAGTCACAATACATTCCAACCATGATCCAGGCACTGATCATGTTCACAAATATCCAACAAACAACATTTTCTGCACAAATACCTCAAATTGGACACAAAACAGCTACGTATTAAGACAAATACAGGTAGACCAAACACCATACTAAATGTGAGTTGTGATTGACTTTTTTCCTCTACGCTTGTTTCCAACCAGAAAGTTTATGCCATCCAAATATGTGGTTTTAAATCCTGCAATAGCTTTCATTTTTTTGTTTTGAAGAAACAAGTCTCAGCATCATGGCAAACCAAGCTATCTTTTTACAGAGCCAATTAATTTATTTGCCAAAGTCATGTAATGATCGCTGTGGTGTGAGAGTGAAGAACACGTGCAGATGATGATGGGGAAAAAAAACACAGAGCACGTCACACAATATACAGTAACCACCGTTGCAAGTGTCATCACAATCTGCACACAAACACCCACTCTTACATGTTACAGGTCAGGTGTGAAACACTAGGCATGCAGAGTAAAGCTGTACAGGAGAGGTGAGTGCACATACTTCTGTTTGTCACGGGCCTCCCTGGTCTTGCTGCTGCGGTTCTGTCGATTGGAGGGGGGGACAGAGTGGACAGAGGAGCTCTTTTTGCTGGAGGAATGGGAGGAGTGGGAAGAGTGGGATAGGCTTGTCCGTGACTGGCCAGCATTGTGATCGAATTGCATGAGGCAGAAGATAAGGTCTGAGGGCACCAGCTCAAACTCGTACGGGGGGTTTGTGATCACATATCTGTACAGAAAAGAAGTGTTAGAAAAGGATTATACTTTCACACATGGCTCCTTTTTTTACACTGAATTATTTGTTTTTGAGAGGGCGCAAAGGTTGGAGCTTTACCGTTTTGTGCACTGGCTTGGTGTACCGAGATGAGCATCTCTTAATCTGTATATTCCAAAGCACAACATGTTGTATGTCTTCAGTGCCTTGCAGAATAAATCTCCATAGCAGCCGCCATCCTGATGAACAACATAACACAGATGTCAGAGGTGTTTAAGGTCAATCTTTAGAAAAATAATTTGTGAAAGACAATCAACAAAAGATGATAATAAACAATCTTTTTAATAAGTTTTTACATCCATTCTTTTTATCCCCAATTAAAGGGAAATTTCACTGCACACTGAACAAAGACACTACTGGATAAACGTATACATGCTTTGAGTTTGGATGCTCTGGCTGCCAATCACCAAAGAACTAAGTGCCAGGCGGGTTTAGAAACCCTCCAGCATGGTTTCTTCTGGCTTGTGTTCATTGTTCTCTTCAAAGTGTTCTCCACCAGGTCAGACCTACTTTACAGTCCAATCCCTCTGATCCAACCGTGAGGAGCACAGGCAGCCAGATGTGTGCTGCTGGGTAACGCATCTCTTCTTAAACCTCCGCTTACCCCCAAGTCAGCAAAAGGCCCGTCGTAGAGCGCTAGCTGGGCCACGCGACACCTGTCTCTGTTGGCCAGAGTCTGCGGTGTGCTGTAGCCTCCTCTGAGAGCATTCTCCTCAGCCAGCAGGCCCTCCAGCTCCGGCGTGGCTCCCCCTGTGACCAGTGTTCGGATCAGTGTGAGGATGTTGTCATTGAAGTAGGTCTGGGAAGAGAAGAGAAGGGATTTCTATTACAGGACTCCCTCCAGACAGGATAGTGAAAGCGTCGCACTGTCTGCTTACATTTAGTTGAGGAAGAATACATTTTTGAGCAGCGATAAATTGCTTTGTTTTCCAGTGGCTTTACATATTTGACCTGATTCATTAGAATTTGTGTTTTTCTTACACTGCCCAATTTGCAGACCCTCAACACAAAAGAACCGTCCTTTGAGGGGCTGTTCACACCGAGTTAGCTTTTTCATAAAAGGTACAATTTATGTGGCCGAGATATGATGCGTTAACTCTTTTGACTTTTCATATGTGGCTTGGTCCTGCTTACATTTTCGTGCCAAACACAGCAACAGCTATGAGAGCAACTTTTGTTGCCTTGTCTGGATTGGATATTACAACTTCCAAAATCAACTTAAACATACTCTATCCAAAACTAAGAGTATATTCAAAGAATGAGTGGGACATTTCCTCTTTTATTATGTATTATTTATTATTTATCAACTTGTATTGTGTCACATAATTTATTTATTCAATCACCCAAAAGCAGATCATAAACATTTGCCTGTAATGTATCTTTTTGCACAGTTTGTATCCTGTATTTGTATCCTATATTAAGTTGTAACCATATAAAAAAAACTATCTGCTGTCATATTGACACAGATATAGGGCAGAGACTAAATGTGGCAATCGTGGTCCTTCATTCAGCAGTTTAAACGGATAGGAATGCTGCCTAACAAAGTAGGGCAAAAGGCTGTTGGACTTTACCCCAGGCTTCAATAACATCTTTCAGTTTCTTTAAATTGGGAGCCCACTCAACTAACAACGTATATTCCTCTAAACACTGTACGTTTCGTTCTCGGGACACACTTGACTGCATTCTATTGCAGTTGGATTCTTTTGTCCTTCAAGCGGATCACAAGCTCCTTTTTCCACATGTGAAGACAGCCAATGTCACTTGGCAGCCGGGCCAAAGAGGCAACGCCTCTCACTGGGCCCCCTGACAGGCCTGCATAGCCTCATGATGGATGAGTAGTGTCCATTAGCTAACTTCACCTCTGACCGGTGCCAGACAACAGCTGACGCCTGCTCTCCTCCCTGCTCTGCACAGCTCTGCCAGCCCCTCTAACCCCTCATTCAGAGGGGACTGCAGAAATTAAGCCATCACAGCAACCAAAAGGAGGAAAAAAAGTCAGGCACGAGATGGGGGAACAATTTATACTGTAGAGTCCCCCCAACCCCCACATCCCATTTATGTCATCAGAGTGAAGTGATGACGCTGTCAAAAGATGAAAGAGTGTTTCTTTGGACTGTTGTAGCCGAGCGTGTGTCATCACCACCACGCTAACCTTCAACACTTACTTTGTTTAGAGATCTAATAAGGCTCTTGAAAGTCAGATTCATAATACTTAAGACGAGGAGTGATGCCTGCAATTTTCCTTTTGATCTCAGTGGAGTTGGCAGGCATATATGATCAATGTAGTGTGCCATTTCATTTACCAACCACTGCCTGCTTAAAAGCCAAAACAGCCCATCTCCTGAAAAATATCACTTCACAAGGCAAAAGATTTTTCATTTCCTCAGGCTGAAAAGTCTGGAATGTTCATAATGTTTAAGGGCAAGTCCTGAAAATAATTCTTCAAGTAAACCGAGCATTCCAATCAAATGCACGATTACAGATTTGTTAAGCAAACAAAACACGCTTAATTAGGAATTTTGAGTCTGGTTCACAAAGAGAAATGCAAAAATGAAGAATCTCAAATCTATCAAGAAATGCTCAATTAAAAAAAAAAAAAGAAAGTAAGATCGCAGTCTGTTTAAAAACTCACTGCACTCATCAGGGAGTCGAGTACGCTGACAGCAAAAGCTGTGCCACAAGCGAAGGGCTGAGTGAGGTACAGTTCTGTGTCCGGGTCGTCATCATCATCTTGGTCCAGGAACTGGACGTTTGAGTCGTTCACTGAAATGACACGCCACCAAATTAGAGAGGGCCAGATGGAAAGCCTCAAATACCTAGACACCAACACCTCAGAATTTGGGATGATATCTTTTGGTCATTTCAAAAGATTTGCCTGTCATGCTACTGTAAGTGTAAAAGTCTAAAGGTCTAAAAGGAGGGCAGGTACTTGCAAAATTACATTTCTCTCACATTTGACGATAGATAGATAGATAGATAGATAGATAGATAGATAGATAGATAGATAG